CTGAACTTTATTTATTTATTTGCACATGATGATAGTTAATAGATTGATTCACAATCGGTCCGTAATTTCTATTTTTTTTGAAAAACGAAGACTCTTATGAAAAGCATCACATATCCTAGAACAATGTACCTTATGCATTAATGTGAATATCATTACTAGGGTGTATAACACAAACAGCAGATGAAAACGAGTTTTCATATGTGTACTAATTGCTTTTCATTTTCATCGAACTGATAAGCTTTAATGTAATTGATTTTTTATTTTCTAAAATTTGTGCATAAGATGATTGATTTTTTTTTTGTAGAACACAATCTGTAAGAAGTATCGAAGTATAGAGGTAAAAATTTGCCTCCTCCTCAGTGAACAGATAGAAGAAGCTAAATAAAAGAATTCTCTATGTTGTTAATCAAACTTTTTTGAACAAGGCTTTTTTAATAGGAAACAAATATTTGTATTGCACCATATTTAATTTCATATTACATGAAATGCTATTCAATTTGGTTGTTCACTGTGCTTTGTCCTCACAGATCGTACAACACACTTCGGTAAAGCCTTTCTCTTTTTTAATCAAAGAACTTGAGGACACCTAATCAACGTCTTTCTTCCGTCATACACTGGGGAAGATACCTTATTGTGGTCACTTCCATCCTATGAAACGTGGCGAGCATACCCGTGAGACAGAGGCCTGTTTCAGAATTATTATGAAACATGGCTAAATTGAAGATAACTGTCCATTATCTTTCTTTCTTATTCACTGTAACACATCACGATTAACATCTATCATGATCGATATGCATTAACAGTAAGTGGCAATTTATAAACGGAAACATGTTAATGAATTCATTCTGTTACAATGACAACAGTTCTGTAGTGTTTCAAATTTTTATCTCGTTGGTATTGCACTGACAGCTTTTTATATTTGTACATATTTTGATTATAGGCTTTGATGTAAGTCAAATCATATAATAGTTAAGAGAAGACAAATAGTTTATATTGTAAAAACCAAAAAAAGACGTGTTTTCCGGAATCTTTATTCATTTAGTCTCGTTTATAATAATTTGAACATGTATATGTGGTTCAATAGAACAATAAATCGAAGACAATTTTGTTTTGTTTCTTCAGTAGGAACTTTGTTGTGCTATTGTTTTCTATAATTCGAAGGTGTGTTTTTTTTACTTAGTTCATCAGATAGCATGCAAGAAAAAACCAACCGACAATCTGCATTGTCATTGCAGGGTTCGTCAGATCTCTATAGATATCTTTTAGTGGAAATCATTGTCCTATATTTTTCCTATAAAGTTATAGAAAATTCTATATAAATGATACATTTGAATTCCTATATTTCAATAGAGTGACTCTACGGAGCCAGTTAATCGATAGTTGAGTTCAATTCAATATAATGTGTCAATTGCATGTCAATATCCATTAAGTGTAAATATTGAATAGAAGAAGTATCTCTATTGACTAATCAGTGAATCGAATTGAAGTTGCTTTTCTAGAAAGTATCCAAAGACAATATTATAATAGCAGCGGAAATCAACAAACGAGGAAAAAATTATTAGTTCCATCTGATGAATATAAAGAAGACGACTTATAATAATTGGCGAGAATTGTAACTTCAATAGATTGTTTTTATTATCTGTTTCTCTTTTCTCTTCCTGATGATGATGAACATATCAGATTTATAACACTGCTATGCATTTTTTTGTCTTTAATTATTGTTCATGTTCTCCTTGCTGTCTTTTTGTATTTCACCTAATTTTGTTGTACACTTTTTTTTGTAGTTTGTTAAAAGGTTGAAGTAAAAATAAAATAACAATGCAAAGAAAATTAGCTTTTCGGTCTCAAGCAATAACGACACTTAACCTATGTTTTCGATTACGATCAAACTACAACACAGTTGCTAAAGACGACAATATAGATGAGCTTTTCATTTTGTTCATATTTTTATTATGAATTACTAATAACTTTTAAGATTTTCCATAAAACTTGACTAAAAATAATCATAATAAACAATAAACGAAAAATTTAAAAGATTTAAAAAAACAATAAAATTAATAAATAGAAAGATTAAGAAATTTAAAAAATCTAAAAATATCTGAAAAAATTTTAAAAATTAGAAAAACAAAATAATCTAGAAAAAAATAGAAAAATACAAAAAAAAATTTTAAAGCCTAAACAACTAAACAAATTAGAAGAATAAATAAAAAATTTTAAAAATCTAAAAAAGATTAAAAAATTCTAAAAAATAAAAAAATTAGAAAAATTGAAAAAATATTAATACTCATAAAAATATCAACAATAATAGGCATCTGACTTCGGATTTGAATTCATGACCCTCAACAACCCCAAGGACCTGTTCTGATTCCAAAAACGGTGGATTCAGACTGCATACTTTATCAGTTGTAGCAGGATAAAAAAAAGAACTGTACTCTCACAAAGACTTCCTTTTAATTATACGGTCGTCTGTGGCTAAGTCCTAACGCTAGAGTGTGGCTCATTACCAATAAGATGGAACCTTCTTTGATTGGTTGGTATCAAATATATTGGATCGTATGATACGAGTAATGCGGTGCAGTTGTGTTTATCTGCGTCGCAGTAATCCTCGTCTTTGCAGTGGTTTTGACTACAACCAACGCGCTGCAGTAACGATCGAAATTTCGCAGTTACATGCAGCTGCGACGCAGTTGTTAAAAAAGAGGCGACATGGAGAAATCACAAGAATCAGGCTAGAAATTCAATAAGAGTCTTCTCTGAAGAAACATTTTTGCCTCCTCAGGCAATATTCAGTCTACATAATTCTTGTCAAAAAGTCAAGGTCGGTTTTTTCAGGCAAGAATAGATCCATGTACGTTCATTAGTGAAGAGTACTATACTTCCGACAAAAAAAAACAATATTTCAAGTAAATTTTAATCAATATTAGTCTTGTATGATGACGTAGAACAAATATTTATTCTTATTTACATTAATTTAAAAATAAAAAAAAAAAACATTTAGCTAAATGATTTGAAAGTCTGTAATTAAGTTTTTTATTCACAAGAAAGCATTTAAAACATTTATTTTTCACTGCAACAAAATAATAAAGAAAGTAGTTTTTCATTGCAATAATTTATATTGAAAAGGAACAAAAAAAAACAAGCTCAACATGAAATACATTTCATAGCTTTGTGTTTCACACTGTTTGTCCAAGATTATACTATACATTTCATGGATTCATAATTTCTATAGTTTATTGATTATCATTCATTTAATGAAACATTTCATGAAAATATTGCTTTGAGCACATCATTTTTATATATTTAATTAAAATTCAGTAATTCTTATACAAAAAAATGATGTTGTCATACACATCAATCATTTTCTATCCTATTCTGAATATCATTTTAGTATATACAAATATATATATATATTTATTTATTTATTTATTTCATTAATAGTCAATAGCTGACTGTTTTACTGATTGCACTAAAAAGTATTTATTTTCGGAATATTGTTTTTAATGGTATTTATATATTTTGTTATTATTATTCATTGGCCTTGAAATGAGTGATAAATATAGACTGTAATAATTGATTCAGTATTGCTGTAAATCTGATAAAACAGAGAGAAAGCAAATACAAATGTGTTTCAATTCACACGATCGCTGGAGAAAACGACAAAATAATTTATCTGTTTGGTTATTCGATCACTCTACAAAAAAAAAGAAGTGGTTAAGCCTCTCCATATTTTAATTTATAGTCCTCGTCATATGTTTTTTCTTTGTGCACATAAATGAAAGCAAAAAAACACACTAATACCATTCGATTGGACGACAATTGGTTGAAAATATATCTCTGTTAATGCTTTCTTTCGTTTAGATCAAAAAGTGCCACACATTCGTTTTCTTTCTTTTATCGAGGTATATTGTTATTTTCTTCATCTTTCTTCGACGATATAGATGCGTTGTTCATTGTCACTAAATTCTATCTATCTATCTTTCTTTCTTCATTTTAGATTGTACGTTAGTTTTAGAATACAATATAGATTGAAATTTTTGTTAATCAATTAACAAAACAATGCGTTTGATTAAGTCTCTTTTTCTTGTATTTTTGGTGTTATATTTTATTGCCGGTCTTTCACTTCTTATTACCGGTAGTGTTGCTCATCGACATGCTGCACAATGTAAGTTTTTATTTGATTTAAAAATAATTTCATTTTTATAATGAATGATTTTAGATGCCGAAATTACTGGTAATTCGATTATGTCTGGTGCTGGTTTTATTATTGCATTAGGTGTTTTTATTATTATCTTATCAGTTCTTGGTAAATCACTTTTGTTTCGTATCTAAAAAAAAAAACTATGATTAAATGTATTTTTTTTTCTTTGATTCTATTAGGTTTTCTTGGAGCATTTAATAATCGTTTAGGATTATTACAACTTTTTATTGGTTCATTAGCTTTAATCATATTACTTCAATTCATTGCTGCTATTGTTGGATTTACGCTTCGTAACAAGGCTGATGCTACATTAAAGAATAAATTATATAGTTCATTAACAGCATATACACCAGAAAATTATGAGGTTGTAACAGAATGGGATCGTCTTCAACGACAATGGTCATGTTGTGGTGTGGATAGTTCGGAAGATTGGATACAGAGAGCTAGACTTATTAAAGTGCCGGATTCATGTTGTCTTAAAATTGATTGTCAACCAGTTACAGATAATACAACGGTTCATTTTAATCAAGGTTGTTATGAATCAGCTCGTAATTTATTCTTTCGATATTCTAAAGCCTTAGGTGGAGTTTCACTCTTCTTCTTCTTTGTTGAAATTGCTGGAATGGTATTGGCTATTATGCTCTTACGAGATTTGAAGAATAATTATGGAAGTGTTTAAAAACAACAAGACAACATTGATTTAAACTTTTATTTTTCATTCATTAGTTGTATTGTTCGTCGTTTGGTTTTTTTGTTTCTTTTTTCGTCTTTTAAAGAAGAAGTTTCTGAAAGATTATATTTATTAAAATTGTTCTAATTGAGATTTTAAAGAAATAATATTTTCATTTTGATCACTCATTTCTATTGAATCAATATCAATTGTTGGTTCATTTGGTTTAGCAAAATGATAATAAATTATAAGAGTACTTATTATCATAAGACTAAAAAGAAATATTTCGCCAAGAATAATAGTTAATACAGCAATACTTGTTTCATTCATTTTTCTTTTTTTAATTTAATTATCAATAACGCGCTCATTTTATTCAATCAAATATTCATCATTCAATGAACTAAAGAAAAAAGAAAAAAGAATGTTTGTAAATATTGATTAACGATTAAAATAGAAACAAATATTTGATATGATTTTTATTTTGTTTTATTAGTGATAATTTAGAATAATATTTGAAGATTTTGATTTAAAGTTACAAGAGAATGATATAAAAAAGAAAAAGAAGAGTTTAATGATTGATCTATATTTATTATTATTATTATTCTATGATGTCATTTAAATGAATTTTTATCACATAGCATTGTTTTAGTTTATAAGGTTTATTTGATGAATAAAGATCTTATCAAAATAAAAAAAATAATTACAAAATTATTTCAAGAATAAAAATGCTTTCTTAACAAATTGAAAATTATTTGTAATAATAATATTCCACCTTCTTATATTGTGAAATAAAAAGAGAAAATAGATATTAGTAGGATAAACCTTTTTATTAAACCCTTTGTCCTATTTAAGAAACGTTTTCTTACTGGAATTCTACCCTATCTAAAAGGTATGGTTATCCCGCGCAGTTCTAATAGCAAGAAATCTACCGTTTTGTATTGAATAATAATAATAATAATACGGTAGGTTTGTTAAAATCTCGTTTCGATCTCAGTTGCAAATCATGATAGACATTTCTATTTGTCAAGCTGTGAAAGACAAGAGTTATGAAATTTTTTTTTGTCGATTATCTCCTGTTCAACACATACTGTGACATATAACAAGGGAGATTTTTCTTTTTTTTTTATCAACTCACAAATGTTGAGAGCTGTTATTAAAAATCTTATGTTATTCTTGAGATTTTATATTCAACTTAGTTAAAATTTCATACAATTCAGTGTTTGAACTATTCAGTCAATATAATTTTACTTTTGAATAAAATTATTCACTTTCAGCTAATTTGCAATATGTTTTTTTTCTTATATTATTTTTTTCTTTTACTTTTGTTTTTTAGGTATAAAAATGAAAATTTTTTTAATTAAGAAAAAAAAAAGTATAATGGAATATGAATAATTTTTTAAAAATTGCAGATATATAAAATTCATATAATCTATTGAAGTATATATTAATGTCAAAATAATTAGTTTTAGTAATTTATTTAAAATATAGAAAAGAATTTCATTTCATAAATTTTATATGGCTTTTAAAAAAATAACGACTAACAAATATTGTTTTACATAACGTAGGTACTGAGTAATCGAAGCTCTTTCGAAGATTGGATTGATCCACTTGAAGTTTTCAATCGTCTCTCCAGAAGTAAAAAAAAAAAAAAAGGAATCTGGAAAAAACATTGCTATAAATCAACATAATTTCTATTTTACTACGAAATTATCAGACTAAAATAGAATAACATATCTGCATTAATCTTTCTTTTCTTTTTTTTCATAGAACAAAAAAAAAGACAAACAAAATTTCGATATTTATTCTTCAGAAAGCCAATCAATCATTGTATACCAAATTCGTTCCCATCCATTTTTTTTTGGTCTTGGATAAATATAAATAAAAACATAATAAAGTATAAAACCAATGATTAATAATATCAATAAACGAATTAGAATAAGAAGAGTTGAAAATAATAAAGATTGTAATCGTTGATGATTAGAAGGTATTATTGTACGTCGTTTTCGAAAAGCAGCTGTACTTGTTGATTTAATCACTTTATCAGATTGAATTACACCACTATTATGATTATTTCGATAATGATGATGATGACATTCTGGTTGATTATTGATTAATAAATGTGAATCATCAACTTGTTGAGAACAATCAGATGAACGAACACTGTCATTATTATGACGATGAAAACATGATGTACGATGTTTATTCATTAAAGTAACAAATAATGAAAACGGAACAATTTAATAAACATTTTTATTTTTTATTTTTAGCGCATTGATATTTAACTCATGCAGCAAATAAATTAATGTATTTTTTGTTTTTTTGTTTTTTTTTTTTTCGTTTTATTAATTCTTAAAACTAATTATGAAAACATTATGTTAATGATTATTTTAATATTATGTCTAACAAAACTGAACATGTTCATTATAATTTCAAGACTTTTTATTGATTTTATGATAATGAAATTCTAATATCATGTTATTATATTGATTCTTTTCTTCGAAAGTCATAAAAATAGAAGGACAAACTGGATATAATCGTAGATGTATGAAAAGTAAATTCACATCATGTCTTCTTTTTACGCAGTTTATGCATTATATTTGATCGATTCATAAAGAAAGTTACTGAGCGTGATACAGTCTCGTATGGATAATTAAACAAAATCATACAAGTGTCGAGTAGACAAATGAGATGGTACTCTTATTATTCTCTTTATGTAAACATACAAGTTGTCGTTGTTCATATATTTTTTCATCAACGAATAAATGAAAGTTGATTATGAATATTTGAACAGCTAGCCGAATTTCTCGATATGTGTAAGGGCAAGCAAGCAAAAAAAAAACAAAGAAAAGAAAAAAAGAAAAGATGATGTAAAATTACGAGCCCAAGTTACTATTGTTGCCGTCCTAGAATTTCACTTTTTTCCTCATTTCTCAATCATTCATTTGAAAGAAAGAGAAAAGAGCACGTAATATTCTTTCTCAGGTTGCATCATTGTGAAGGCTGATGATTGTTCATTATCAGGTAGGTTCAACATTTATACAGAACGTGCGCGAAAAAGCGAGAGAGAGTTCGTTTTTATGTAAATATATACATAATTCTTTTTCGTTAGTCATCATCATCATCATCACAAGAGTTTTTTGTCTCAAGTAACGTTTGCTTGTGTGATGAAAAATGAAATCATATATACTTTTTTTTCTCTCTCTCTCTCTCTCTCTCTCTCTCTCCCTCTCTTTCTTTCTTTTTTCTTTTTTGAAAGAAAGTGCAAATGTGTTTATTAAACAGACAAGAATAAGTTCTAAGAATAGATGACACTTATTTACTCATTGAAGATTTAACATAATAGAGTATAATCAATTTCAATTCAGAAGATAAGTGAAACCAATGATTTATGATTTTTATATTATTCATTTTTGATATTGATGTCAATAGCAGGTAGTCTTCCGTTGATTTTCATCATCATTTTCATTGTATGTAAAAACCGCAGGCAACAACGTCTTTTTTTCTTCTTCTTTTCATTTCTTTTATATCGGCTTTATTTTTTTAAGAGTGTGTTGTTCTTCTTTTTTTTTTACCGTATGGTTTGTTTGTTGCATCTTATAAATACTCATACACATCCCATCATCGATCTCATCAGACGAGAGTTAGAGAGAGAACATATACGTTCGACAAGAAGAATAAGAAAGGCTTGAAATTTTATTCTCTCTCTCGCTCTCATTTTGTGTGCATCGAAAGAAAGCAGAAAGAATTTCGATTCTTTCACTCATACATTCACCTAAAATTATTCTGTGTCCGTTTCACTTCATCTAAGTTAATGTAAAAAAACAAGAATAGAAGAAACAAAGACGTAAAGCCGAGAGCTCATCTGACCATGATGAGAAAAAGGTAGCGTGTGTACGTGCTTGTTTAAAATCTAGAACTAGTTCAAATAATTGATTTCATGCAATCATGCCTTATAGATATTTCCGATAGTGTGAGCTTTTTTTTCTGTTGTTACCTTTTTTTTTTTTTTCTTTTTCTTCTTCGTCTTCATTCTCTTCATCTTATTCTCGTATTGCTTGCTAATGTTTCCGACGAGAATGACAAAAACGGGTGCAATAATTGCTTCTCGATGCGTGTGTGTGCGCATTTAGAAAAACTCAAGGTCATTTTTTTTTTCTTACAGTCTTTTCTTTTCTCAGTCTATATGTTCAGCAACTGATTATGTAGAATAAAGACGCGTTAGAAATTTATGACATTACGTTATAGATTCCATACATATTAAGTAATATATTTAAATCATTTGGTAAGTCGCTATTTCTTGATTTTGCATGATACTTCATTCATCAACACACAAAGAAAAAAAAAAAAACTTGACATCATATGAAAGAGGTGAGAATCAAGTTACTTCATTAATCTGTCCTTGAAGAAGAAGAAAAAAAAAAGAGAAAACTTGTTCAATTCACATATGCGTAAAATGCAAGCTAGTGGCACTGCCTGTCATTCATTAAATGAGATCGACAAAGAAAATAAAAAAAAAAAAAACATATTATGACATCAAGACAGAAACGTATTCATCCTTGAACAAAAGAAAGAATCTAATAAAATTGAAAAAGCAATTTAACTCTTGAAAAACAGCAGGCGAATGCAACTATAGCTATGCAATGATATTTACAAAACATATTTCCATTTTATTTAACTGAGGAAAAATAAGTTTTCTTCTCGTTTTTTTTTTCTTGATTGATTTACTAGTTGAAAAAAAAAAAAGAAAAAATTTTTTTATTGTAGACAAAATTGTACATCGTCGATGACACAGTGTCCAATCCAACGAAATGTTTATACGTTGGTATCATCAAATAATTCAATGAATAAAACAATTGAAACAACAAATGTTTTAACAGCACATAATACAAATACACCATCACGTATTTCAACAACAACATTTAATATTTTTGATGATAGTTTAACAAATCTTTCATGGTTACATGATATAAATATATTAAAACGAACTATTCCAACAATAAATTTATCATCAAATTGTTCAACATCATCAAATAATTTTGGAAATAATATAATTAGTAACAAACGTAAAGAACAATCTTTATCTAATACTTCTATAATTCTATCTTCATCAAATATTGGTGCTGTCTATCCTAATGATATTGATGATGATAATGAATTAACATTAAATAATGATGATGATGATGAACAATGGAAAATTTATAAAACAAATCCTCAAGCAAAACCGGTTTATTCATATTCTCAACTTATTTTTTTGGCTATGAGACAATCAGGTCATGAAAAAATGACATTACAAATGATTTATGAGTGGATTGCAGATAATTTTCCTTATTTTAAAAAAATGGAACCAACTTGGCAGGTATTTTTAAATTATATGTATGAATTATTAAACATTTAAAAGGATGAAAAAATTTTGTTTTTCTAAATGTTATGAGAAAAAAACATAGTAACGAACACTTCAGTTATTTTGTTTAATGAAAAACGTTAGTGAAATGAAGAAAAAAAAAAGAAAACGGGGAAATGATTAATATTCACCCGACAGGAAATAAGAACACTATGCTTTTCCTTTGACCTTGTTTAACTTCCTTATAACTTTTTCTTTCCTATTCTGATTAAAAAAGAACATAAAGAAATATTTAATTATTTATATTCTATGATTATTTAAAATTTTTTTTTCTATAGAATTCTATTCGTCATAATTTATCATTAAACAAATGTTTTATTAAAGTTCCACGTACAAAAAAAGAAACTGGAGGTAAAGGTGGATTTTGGAAATTATCTTCAGGTTATGAACGACAACGTTCACAAAATAAAATTTCAATAAATAATCAACAAGATCGACAAATAAATTCATCACAAAATAAACGTATACGTACATCAAAACGATCAACAAATAATTCTGATACTATTACACAATTAAATAATGGTATTAAAACTGAATCATGGATTGATTCAATTCTTCCATGTATTTCATCAAAAAATCAATTATCTCTTCAATGTCATACAACAAATACTGATCGTTCATCATCATATGTTCGAATGCCAAGTAGTTTTCTTTCTCCAATATCATCACCAGATTCATTAACAATTCCATCATTTTATCATCAACAACAAATAAATGATTTTTCATCTGTTTCAACTCCATCACCATCAAGTTCACCATCATCAATGTCATCAGCTATAATAAAACAAAATTTAATTTCAACAAAATTAGATGATACAGATATGCTTTTATTAGATTCAGTTACATTTGATTGGGATGCTTATTTATGTGAAGTACCAAATGATATTGATGTTCAACCACTTTTATCAACAAAAACTGAACAAGATTTATTTAATGATTTTAATGCAGCATTATCAGATTTAACGTATTCAGCTGAAACAGCAGCAGCCGGTGGTGATCCAAGTGCATTTGATGGTTTTGATTATTCAACTAAACATTCAACATTTAATTCGTTATTTGACGATGACGTACAACAACAACAACAACAACAACAACAACAGTCTCTTACTATAAAAGGCCGCGGAATTAAACGACCATCATGGTGGCTTTCAAATGAAAGCGTAACTCCAACAAAGTTACCATCACTTGAAACAGCGTTTGATTTAAAATTATCTAAATAACCACAAAAAAAGGTTTGTTTATTGTATATATATGTTTGTGTAGGGTCTTCCTTTTTTTGTTTTTGTTTGTGGAATGTTTTGTTTTTTTTTTTTTCGTTGCTTTTCTTCTTCCGTCCAGCATTATTTCCTTAATGTTTTTTATTTGTGCATGTTTGAAGCATTTCTCTTCGAAAATTATCTGTGTGACACACACCATTTGCAATTATTCCATCCACAAAATAATATTATAATTAGTTTGAATATTCTTATCTTTTTTTGTTTCTTGTGTTTATCACTGTGATTTTAAACAGTTTCAACCGTCCATTATTATCATTTTATGTGTGTGTGTGTGTGTGTGTGTGTGTGTATTTTGTTTCGTTTTTCAAGATCAAAATTATATTGAAAAAAATAATAATAATAAAAAATTGTTGTTTCTTTTCTTTTTTTGTATATGATTTATTTAAAACTTACAAAAAAAAAAAGGAAACATGAAAGAAAAAGCAAAATATCATAAAAATGAAAAACTATAATGTTTGTTAAATAAATGAAGAAATGAAAAATTATGAAAGCATGAAAAAAAAAATGATATTTGTTCAATGAAGTGTAT